TATTTTATTTCAAAATGACCAGCTTAGTTCAGTGTAATACTTGTTTTACAGCTGTCTTTGGAAGTACTCTTTTCAAACTTGGATACTGTCCTCTTTGTAAAAAAATTACCAGTCTACATGGACAGATTACCTATCTAGAATCTCTAATCTGTGCTCTCCAAGCAGAAATTAGGTGCCCAATCCAGCCATCTATTGAGCTGCCATGCTACCGGTCCCCACTACCACAAAGATCCTACAGGAAAAGGGCAGTATGGACAACCGTGGGATCTGGCAGGGTGCGAGTTGTGGACCATAAACACAAAACTTTTGCTGTGTCCCAGCATAACAGATACAATGCCCCTGCTGACCTTAATAGGGATAGTAAAGTGACAGGTCAAGGTAGTTGTGATAATGATAACTTAAGTAAGCCAGGGATCATGGTCCTAGAAGAAGAACTTACTTTGGAAAGGAGAAAAAGTGAATCAGGTATTATGTATCACACAAAAAGAGTAAGGCATCCAAAAAGAGAAGCCACCTTCTGGTTGGGGACTCAATTGTAAGGGATGTAAATTTAGGAAAGGATACTGAGGTTTTGAAAGAGGTCAGGTGTCTACCAGGTGCTACTGCCAGTAGAGACAAGAAGTGTATTCTTAAGATAATCAAGAATGCCAGCAAGGGCTGTGATGTTGATGCTATTATACATCTTGGTACAAATAACCTGTCCCAGAAGGATGTACTTTCTGTTCAGAAAGACTTCCAGAGCTCTGTCCCCAGCAACCTAAAAGTGATAAGGATACCAGTGCATGCCAAATAGATGTTTGTGCAGGTAAGATTATCAACCTTGATGCCAATGAAAACCAAGCATTTAACAGTGAGTGCCATACCATGTTTACTAATCAAACAGGTGGCAAGAAAGTAGGGGCAGGCAGGCACAACACAGGTTATGTAGACAGGAAACACAGTGTCAGACATAAAGATCTCAAGTGCCTATATACAAATGCACAAAGTCTGGGGAACAAGCAGGGTGAACTTGAACTACAAATACATGAAGGTAAATATGATATAGTTGGAATAACAGAAACTTGGTGGGATGAAACCCATGACTGGAATACACTGGTAGAAGGATACAAACTATTCAAAAAAACCAGACCCATTAAAGAGGAAGTGGAGTTCCATTGTATGTAAAGGACCACTATATTGCTACAGAAATGCATGAAACCAAAGATGAAACCTCCTAGAATGCATATGGGTCAATGTAAAAGAAAAAAAGAATGACATGGCCATAGGTGTATATGTACCCAATCAAGCAGAATAGATGTCTTTTTTGCCAGCCAACTAACAAACACATGCAGGAAACACACAACAATAGTAATGGGAGACTTCAATTATCCTGATATCAATTGGAAAACTAATTCTACACCAAGTGAGAAATCAAATAAGTTCCTAACCAACCTAGCTGACAACTTTGTTGTCCAAAAGCTAGAGGATAAAACTAGAGGGACAGCCATACTGGACTTAATTCTTACAAACAGAGAAGAAATGATAGAGGGAGTTGAAACTGCAGGAACCTTGGGTGAGAGTGACCATGTCATACTAGAATTCAACATAGCACAAACACAACCAACAGAACATAATGACACCAGAGTCCTGGATTTTAAAAGACCTGATTTCAATAAACTCAGAGAGAACTTGGGAAAGATTCCATGGATGAAAATCCTAAAGGGGAAAACAACTCAAGAATCTTGGGAAACTCTAAAAAGTATGATCATAGAAGCCCAGACCAGCACAATACCACTGAGAAAGGAAAACAAGAAATCCAAGAAGAAACCAGCATGGCTACACAAGGATCTCTTTGGCAAATTGAAAGAAAAAAAAAGACAAGCACAAAAAATGGAAAGAAGGACATACAACTAAGGCAGAATATCAGCAGATAGCCAGAATCTGCAAAGACGAAGTCAGGTTAGCAAAGGCTCAGAACGAACAAACACTTGCAACAAAAGTCAAAGATAATTAAAAAAAGTTTCTTCCATCATATAAATAACAAGAAAAAAATCAAGGAAATAATCGGTCCACTAAAGAGAGAAGATGGCAAGGAAGTAACAGGCAACAGAGAGAAAGCAGAACTGCTTAACTCATTCTTTGCATCCGTCTTCACGCAAAAAAACTATAGCTCAAGCCACCCAAAACATAACTGTAAAAGACAGACCAGAAATAAAAGTTAAAATAAGCAAAAAAAATAGTAAGAGAACACCTGTCTGATCTTGACGAAAACAAATCACTGGGGCCTGATGGATTACATCCCAAAGTTTTAAAAGAGCTGGCAGAGGTCATTTCAGAACCACTGTACCATATCTTTCAAAAATCCTGGAGCACCGGGGAACTACCAGAGGACTGGAAAAGAGCTGATGTGGTTGCCATCTTCAAAAAAGGGAAAAAAAACAGACCCAGGAAACCATAGACCAATCAACCTAACATCAATACCCGGGAAGATACTGGAAAATATAATAAAAAAACAGATCTGCCAACATCTAGAAACAAGTAAAGTAATAACTAGCAGTCAACAAGGGGTGGTTAAAAATAGATCATGCCAAACCAATCTTATTTCATTCTTCAACACAGTGACTAAATTAGTAGATCAGCAAAATACTGTGGATATAATATATTTAGATTTCAGCAAGGCATTCAATAAAGTAGACCTCAACCTACTTCTTAGTAAGCTAGAAAAAAGTGGAATAGATAGCACCACCACTAGATGGATTCGCAACTGGCTGGCAAACCGTACTCAATGAGTAGTCCTTAATGAGTCTAAGTCTACATGGAGGGAAGTAAGCAATGGGGTGCCACAAGGTTCCGTCTTAGGCCCAATGCTCTTCAATATCTTCATTAACGACTTAGATGAGGGAATAGAAGGGGAACTTACCAAATTTGCGGATGATACTAAGCTGGCAGGAATAGCTAACACCCAAGAAGATAGGCTCAAGATTCAGATGGATCTTGACACACTAGGACACTGGCCATATCTAATAAAATGAAATTCAATATAGAGAAAAGTAAAGTCCTACACTTAGGCAAGAAAAACCAAAAGTACACATATAGACTGGGTGAAACCAGGCTCAATAGCAGTAACTGTGAGAGGGATCTTGGAGTCTTAGTGGACAACCAACTAAAAACGAGTCAGCAGTGTGCAGCCACTGCCAAAAAAGCTAATGAAATCCTAAATTGTATTAACAGAGGGATACAGTCAAGATCAAGGGAAGTACTAATACCACTCTATAAAGCCTTAGTAAGGCCACACCTAGAGTACTGCATCCAGTTTTGTTCACCACATTACAAAAAAGATGTTGAGACTCTAGAAAAAGTACAGAGAAGAGCAACCAGGATGATTAGGGGACTGGAGGCTAAAACCTACAATGAACGGTTGCAGGAACTGGGCTTGGCTAGTCTAGTAAAGAGAAGGACCAGGGGAGACATGATAGCAGTCTTCCAATATTGGAGTGGCTGCCACAGGGAGGAAGGGGTCAAGCTATTTTCTAAAGCTCCTGTAGGCCAGACAAGGAATAATGGATGGAAACTGAACAAGGAGAGATTTAACCTGGAAACAAGGAGAAACTTTCTGACAGAACAATCAACCAATGGAATAGCTTGCCCTCGGAAGTTGTGGGAGCGTCATCACTTGAGACTTTCAAGAAGAGATTGGACTGCCATTTGTCAGCAATGGTGTAGGGTCTCCTGCTTGGGCAGGGGGTTGGACTAGATGACCTACAAGGTCCCTTCCAACTCTGATTATCTGTATCTGTATGTGTATCTGTATCTATCTGTATAATTACTAGATGGCAGCAAAATTATACAGAAACTGAAATCTAAAGAAAACTGCAGCCTAGATTTGGTAGCCCTAGTCATTTACCAGTTTGCCAGTTTAACCCTCCAATTATTAATAAGAACAGCAATTAAAATTTATGCATTAGAATGATATGGATAGGAAATGAAAATCAAGTGTCTTTCAACTTAGTCATTAATTAAACTGCTGTTCGTGCAAAACTGTAGCTAGTTAGAAAGTGGATAAATACTGTGAGAGTACATTAATATCAAAGCCTCAGATGTCTATTTAAGAAATTTAGATTTGGTGTACAAATGAAGTGCTCCTAGGAACATGGGAATTCTAATTTAATCAGGTTTCTTTATTGTTCCACACCTATAAACAAAATATTGTCAAACTGAGGCAGACTGCTACCTACATGAAGGACATACTCTGGGGACTATGAGGGAGGAGCTGTCTTCACCTTCTTTCTCTCACACAAACTAGTTGCCTCCTTCCTGAGTATCCAGACTACATTCCACCACAGTTGCATTGCAATCCTCTTTATGGTGATTATCCTCAGGCATGAAGATCAATAGCTGGTGTAATCTGTAAACATTTAGAAAGTGAAATAAATGTAGAAAATGCAGCATGCTTAGTGTGCGATGATTTAACATTTTTTAATAGTTCAGGCAGCTAAAAATTAAAATGAGGTTATGAAGTCAGCTGAATAGTTATAGTACTGGCCTTAAGAACCAAAGCTTTGGTAAATTTTAAAATTTTAGCCAATAAGCTTGCAGTATTCAAATTAGCTAGGCCATTGTTTATGTTAGTTATGATACTAGGAAGTGCATCACTTGACATGGCAGTTGAAAGGATTGGCTGATCCCACAAATAATCTCTCCTCCAAATATACCATGACAAGAAATGTTACTTATCTAAGCCTCTACGCTTTGAAGAAATCATCAGGAACTTTTTAAAAAATAAATATTCTGGCTACTTGCAAAAAGTGGAAGGAGAAATGAAGCCTTTTAATCACTGCAGAAGAAAAATCTCACTTTGTTGGAAACTGGCCTTGGGCTTCTCCCTCATGTTTGGTGTACCGGATTCCCAAGCTGCGAGCCCATCCGTGTATTATATGAACCTAACACTTCATTGGGGGAAGTGGGCCATGTCAGAGATCTATCATCCAGCTTTATTTGAAGAGAACCTGCCTTCCAAGAAGATGGTGGGTGTGTTGGTGATCCCAGAAGGTGAAACTAAAAATGCTTGTGGGGTGGAAACTAACTTCAACATACCACCAAATACAGAGGACTGGATTGCCTTCATTGCAAGAGGAGGCTGTACTTTTAAGGATAAAGTAATGGCAGCAGCACAGAAGGGTGCTACCGGGGTCATTATCTATGACCATTCATGTGCTGAGCGAGAGAGTCTCATTTTAACTCGTGAAGACGCTGGTGAGATTGCGGCTGTCATGATCAGCAGTCTGAAAGGGAAGCAGATTCTTCGCTTGATTCAGGAAGGTATTCGAGTAACTGCCATGATTGAAATGGGAGCAACCCAGTGCCTGTGGAAGATATATCTCTGCGCTTACTCTCTCATTTTGACATTTGTTGCTTATGTCTTAATATGCTGTACTCCTGGGCAGATTATGATAAGACACGAAGAACGGAGAGCCCAAATGATGAAATCGGAACTCCGAAAAGCTGTTCATTCTCTTGAATTGCGGAAGTTAAAAAAGGATGAATTTGATCTGGCAGAAGAAACTTGTGTGGTCTGCTTAGAGACATACAAGCCAAGAGAGATAGTCCGGATTTTAACATGCAGGCATATTTTCCACAAACGATGTATTGACCGCTGGTTGCTAAAACGTGGCATTTGCCCAATTTGCAATTATGCCATTATCCAAGGCAACTGAGAGAGAGAGAGAAATGCAATAACGTATCTCCATCAGATTCCCAAGGCTCCTTTCCTTTTCAGGATCATATGTAAGACCATTCTTCTCACTAACTCTTAAGACTTTTCTTACTTGGAGAGTGGTGATGATTTGGAGGATAGTGTCAGTTATGATCAATAATTAAAAGTCTACATTTATGGACATCACCACAATGTGAAATTTTGTTGCTTTTTTCCCCCCAAGAGACATACTGATTTTGCAGTATGTATGTGTTTAAATAGTCTCAGAAGTGTATGGATGAGATTGTCTTTGCCAAATGTATTATCTTCACCGAACTAATGCTTCTTGTTGTCTAATAAGAAACTAATAAGCACAGACATTAAACAACTTAAAGAGAGAAATTATTTGCAACAAGTGCTGTATAATGGCTGCGTACTTTTTGAGTTAAAGTTACATGCCAAAGCATTTTCCAAAATATCAATTTTATGAAAGTCAACTATTGGATGTATTTCCAAACTAGCTATTGCCACAACCCTCTTGAGAAGACTGAAAATAACTGAGGCCAAACATTTACTAAATGGGAAACATAGGTAGAATTAGCACAGTACACGTATCAATGAAAGAAACTGAATCTGAATTCTTAAGAGAAACATTTATTTTAATTAGAAAATAAGTAATTAACATGATTGAAAATCCTAAACTTTTAATCTGTAATTCTTTAGTGTACAGTTTTTGGCTGTTTCTCTAAAACTTACCTCTAATCATTTGACTAGCAGAAACTGGTAAGAAACAAGGTGGCCGAAGACTCATCCAGAAGATTCCTTCTTAAAAACATGAATGGGTCCACCTGTATTATATGAAAAAAGAGCATTAGAGTATACAACCTGTTGCTACTACTCAATTGTTATTACCATGTAATAGTAGTATGGAAAGGCTTTGCTTACAAACACTATAGCCTACACCTTTTCAGAGTAAGCATGCTTGATAAGAAAATAGAATATGGAGGGAATTTTTAAAAATCTCAGTGACTTCTAATTGGTATGACTGCTATTGCAGTCATCTTGTCATCTCAACTGCTCTACATTATTATTCTGCACTTGTACCATAGCAACAAATTATCCACCTAAGAAAAAAGTTTCAGATTCTCAGATAGGAGCCTGGACATTAATTTAGAACATTTTTCTATTCACCAGTAGAGTGTCACAAACGTAACTGCTACAGGGCAATTGGTTTTTGAGCAATAAATCATTTTAGGAGAAAACTGTTATATAATTACAGTTACAGTAAATCTGTGTATTATGACATGAATAAACAAGGCAGAATGCAATATGCTTTGAATACAAAATACATTTGTTAGAAATGTAATATTTAGGTAAATAAAGATTCCAAGGTAGAACCTTTATGCCAACAATGGACATAGTTCATAAAAAGTTCTCAAGCTCCAATAAAATGTATGGAATAATGGAACTTTCTTGTTGTGACCATCATTATCCACTCTTTTTATTATTATTTTTTCCTTTTATTGAGAGACTATACGAGCGTGCTAATTATTATACCAGACTGGTTATTTATTTATTTTATTTATTATTTATTTTTGTCAATTGCTTACAAGATAATAGGTATAAGTAAAACATAGTTATGAATACATGGATACATATAAGAAAAATAAAAAAATAAAAGAAACAATAGGACAGGGACGGTAGGCATGTTGGTAGGCATGTTGAAATATTTCTGGACTTTCTCAACTGTGTTAATATCGGATATGTAATGTGGGTTCCAGACTGATGAGCTGTATTCGAGTAGTGGTCTAGTTTTGTGTGCTCTAGTAGTGTAATATTACCAGATAAAAAGCTACGTAAGATTAGGTTGACAACTCATGATGCCTTTTTGGCTATGTAGTTACAGTGGGCTCTAGCACTTAGATCATTAGAAATGAGTACTCCATCATTGACAGAGTTTGGATCATCAACAAGGTCTTGACTATTCAGCCTGTATTTTATTTTCTGATTATTATTTTTTTGCCAATATGTAGGACAGAGCATTTATTTCTTGAGATTTGAAGTTGTCATTTGTTTGACCATTCTGATACATAGTCAAGGTCTTTTTGAAGGGTAGCAGTATTGTCTGTGGTGTTGAATAGCTTTACATCATCAGCGAAGAGAACACAGTTGCTCTTGATATAATCACAGAAGTCATTTATATAGAGTATGAAAAGAGTTGGTCCTAGAACACAGCCTTGGGGAACACCACTGTTGACAGGTCCAGAATTTGATAGGACACTTCCAATTTTGACCATTTGTTGTTTGTTTGACAGGAATGCTTCTATCCAGTTATGCAGTTGTCCAGAGATACCGTAAGATTTTAGTTTTAGGAGTAGTTTGTCATGTACCACTGAATCAAAGGCTTTACAGAAGTCTATGTAGATTGCGTCTCTTGCTTTGCCCTGATCGAGTTGTGTAGTCCATATGTTTTTGTAGTGTAAGAGTTGCAGATTACAGGATAGTTTTTTCCTGAAAGCAAATTGTTTATTAGATAGTAGGTTGTTTGTTTCTAAGTGGAGGATGATGGTTTGGTTAATAATTGATTCCATGACTTTACAGGTGACGCAGCATAAAGAGATTGGTCTGTAATTTTCAACTAGGCTGGGGTCTCCCTTTTTGAAGATGGGGATGACCGTGGCTTGTGACCATAGTTTTGGCAAGGAGCTGGTCCTGAAAGATTTTTCAAAGATTATGCTTAGAGTTTTGGCTAGGGCAGTGGGTAGCTTTTTTAAGAAGTAGGCACATATTCCCTCCGGTCCAATAGGTAGAGATGGTTTTAGATTGTGTAGTGCTTTTTCAACATTGTCTTCTGTAAAATCGATATGTATTAGATCATTGTAGTTGTCTGTGGTTCGACTAGGAAATACTGGGCATGATCCATTGCTGTTTACAAATACTGAGCCAAAGAATGTGTTAAAGAGGTTGGCTTTAATAGTGTCGTCGTTGCAGTCTTTACCATTAGGTCCTTTCAGGGGTGGGATGGACCTTGAGCCTTTTAATCTGTTGTTTACAAAATTGTAGAAAGCACGGGTGGAATTGGTGCGTAGAAGGTTTTCTTCTTGTTTAATGTGATAATTGGTGCATTCAGCTTTTATTTGGTGGCATAAATTTTTGTATCCGCTTTTGAAGTTGGCAACGTGACCAGATTTGTTTTTATGCCAAAGTGATTTATTTTTGGATTGAAGCTTCCTTATTGTTATAGGTAATTTTTTTTTCTGGTTTTGGGAGTTGTTAATGGTACATATAGTTTGATGACTCTTCTGACTTCAAGTAAAAATATGTTGTAATGGTCTTCTACAGTATTGCATCCAGTGAATAGAAATTGCCAATCAAGGGATGAGAGATCATTGTTTATAAGATCATAGTTGCCTTTTTTGAAGTTATAATTGGGGATTCCGTCATTGTGATGATTTTTGTGTGGACATATGTTGAGACAAAAGTCAATCATGTTGTGGTTACTGTTGGAAAAGGGTTCTTTAATTTGTATTCTGTAAATTGAATTCAAACTATTGTAGAAGATGAGATCGAGGCAGTTGTTAATCTAGTGTTGTTGATTACTAGTTGTTCTAGTCCCAGATTTGTTATTGCATTGTAGAAGGTTGCATGTATGGGTTCAGTTGTACATCCGTTAAGGGTTCAGTTAATATGAAGTAAATTGAAGTCACCAAGAAAGATAAAAGTGTGTGGGTAGGATGCTGCCCATGTTAGTAGTGTATTTAACTTGTTTGCATGTTCGATGTCATAATCAGGGGCTCTGTAACATATTAAGAACTGAAATATGATATTTAAGGACAAGCTCCTGGGTAACTTGGATGTTTTTTAGATGTAGGGACTTTTTATAGAAGATAGCAACACCACCTCCTCTATGGATTTCACGATCTGATCAGTAAACATGATAGTCTATTACTGTGGTAATGGAGTCAGGGAGAGATGTATTGAGCCATGTTTCACAGACAAATATAATGTTGAATTTAGCCGTATTTAGTAAGAGGAGAAATTCAGGTATTTTATTTACAAGGCTTCTTGCATTGAGTAGCTTGCATTTAAGGCCAGTTGTGGTTGAAATAGAGGTAGTTAGGGATGTGCATGCCTATAGTGTTGAGTGATGTTGGAATGGATGGGGTGTGTTGGATGCGGAGTTGTGGGTTGTGTGACTTACTTTTGATGCAATCAGCTCAGTAGTCAATGTATAGGTCCTTTTCTCCATTGTCTAGATGGTTTTTGAGTTCTGTGTGGAGTTCATGGGAGCGGATTCTTTGCAGTATGGATAAGCCTGGTCTTGAGTGAAGTTTTTTGTGGTTGGGATTGGTTTTTGCAATGGCGTTTATTGTATGAATGAATATGCGTTTGCTGGACACATTTTTGCATACAACTCTACAAAATCTTGGGGCCATAGAGCCGTCACTGTATTTGTACCCAGGGCCATCTCTGGTTATTTCAATGATACCTTCAGGAGAGATGTTTGTTGTATTTGAGTTGCTTATAATATCACGAACTTTGGTGATGTCATCTGATTCGTTGGTGTCTTCGAGACCAAATAAGGTGCCATTTGGACATTTCTGTTCACATTCCATGGTGTTTCTGATGTGTAAGGAGATATTATTTGTGGAATTATTTGAAGGGATAGTAATCGTTTGTGGCTGTGGTTTTGTGGTTATTTTTGGTTGTGGTTGTGATTGTAGTTGAGGTAGTGGTTGTGGTTGTTGTGGGATTTGATTTTGAGCTGATAGGTACTCACTTATCTGTGCTGTATTTTTTTTTTCAAGAAAGATTAGGCTTGCTTGTATAGTTGTTTCAAAATGTGTTGCTAAGCATTCTTCTATTGAGTGAATGAGTGATTCTGTGCTTTCAACTCTGTCAGGTAGGGTACTCTGTTTGTTTAGCTTAGGAGAACATGATGGACATAGATAAAAGAATGTATCTGAATTTTTAACCATATCAGCTAACTTTATTTCCTCCTAACTTTATTAAATGACACTG